TAATAATAATAATAATAATAATAATAATAATAATAATAATAATAATATTTATAGTATTGTTAGATATTATATTATATTATTATCATATATAATAGTGACATAATATGATATTTTATATAATTAATGTCGTTATGAAACTATTATAACCCCATACAAATCAGAAACTGAGGATATAATGCCTCATCAGTGTTTTTTCTACAGTGAAATAAAAGCAGACGGAGGGGTTGGTGGTCATAGTCCGGACCAACAGCGGGCCCCCGGGCCCCCGGGGCTCCGGGGCTCTCTATGGCGTTCTGTCAGCTCCTAAAAGTGACCACGGCTCTTTGCTTTGCTCCTCAGCTGCGGGTCAGAGTGTGCGCAGAGCGGAGATCTCTCCGTGCGCGTCACCAGAGACGAAAAGAACTCTCAGACTCACCAAATATGCAAAAAAAACTCTTTTTACTACAGACAACAGCAAGAAAACTCACACCTGTCCACCCAGGGAAATAAATAACACATACACCTTCAATAATTTATTATTTAACAGCCGGCGCGTGATGCGGAGATGAGGGTTCAACCCCGCGTGGCCGGGACCCGTCCCGGCCGCTGTCCGCGCGCGCGCGCTGCTCCGTGGCCTGCGAAGAGAGCACGCGCCTGGCATCACTACGCTCACCGGTCCGGATGCCCCCCCCCCCCCTTACCTCAGCACCCCAGCCCGCTGAAGGAGCCGATCCTCTCCAGCCGGACCCCGAAGCAGCTCCTCAGCCCGCCGCCCTTCTTCCAGCGGCTCCACGCGCGCTTGGGGCTCCGCAGCAGGTCCTCCAGCACGCGCGCCAGCGCGCTCTCCTTCGCCGCGTGCGCGGAGCTGAGCTGCGCGGAGGTCGCGGGCTCGCGCTCCGGAGCGCCGAGCGCGGACCTGTCCGAGTCCAAGCCCGCCTCCAGGAGCCGGGTCAGGCCCTGGGAGGAGAGGAGGGACGTCACATCCCGGGACCCCAGTCAGGGTACACGGCCCCACATCACCCCCCCACACACACACACGCACACACACACAGGCGCGCCCCCCGGTCCTGGTGGCCTTACCTGGATCTCGGACGCGGGCTTGGCTGCGGCCACATGCAGCAGCAGCAGCAGAGAGAGGCAGCAGAGCGGGAGGTGGGGGGGCATCTTCTGTCTGTCTTTCTGAGTTATTCTTCTCTCCCTCCCTGTGAGATGAGCGGGCTGTAGGCTGCTGCTCTCCTGTGACTGCAGCAGCCAGGTGCCGCCTTTATACCCGACCCGATTCCGTCACCGGGCCTGGGAAAATTAATGAGGCGCGACTAATGCCGCCGCGCGTGGGAGTGGGTCTGACCCGAACCCCCCCCCACATTTACAGAGCTGGACGTGACAAACACACGATCACGGTGTCCTTCCACTATGACCAGGACCCACTCCATATCAGGGGCTTTTTCAAAAGCTCCCAGTTCAGGACGTGTTAGACTAATCAGAGTGGTGGGTTAACCAGAAGGTAATTCTAAGGTTAAAACTATCCATACATCACATCAATGCTCAACGGTCCGTAATAACTTTAGTTTCCTCAAGAATTATCAAAATCAATGTGTTGGATCTGCCATTTTTAACAAACATTTATGAACACTGTCACTCAGTTAACAACCCAGTTGAAGATTAGGACATTTTGTCCATACCATGTAAATAATGTATGTTTTCCTCTAGAGAACTCATTGTCAGTTGTAACGATACATGTTCTGATGCTAAGCTAGGGCACATCATCCGCGATGTTCCTGATCTCACTGGGTGTTTGGGTCTTTGGAAACATCCCCCTCCCTCAGGTGACCCGGCTGAGGTTGATCCAGACTCAGCGGGTGCCCTATAGCCTTCTCCCCAGCGACTGTTCTGCTGCAGAGTCTTTCTTCTTCTCTCACCTGTGATGCCAAGTACACTATAGGCCTTATGGAGGGCCTGCCCTGCAAAGCCTCTGCACCCCCTCCACGGGTAGCACCTTGCCTTCCAGCCTCGATTGTGGCAGTCCCTGACAAGCCCTTCATATTTTGCCCTCCTCCTCTGGAAAGCCTCTTCCATTCGGTCTTCCCATGGCACAGGGAGCTCCGACAGGAGCAGCTTCTTAGTTGCCTCTGATACCGAGACAGTGTCAGGTCTCAGGGTGGTATTGACCACACGCTGGGGGGGATCTAAGGCTGTTTGCACACGTCCACGTTCCCGGTGGTTAAGAAGCCCCAATGTTTCCCTGGAAGAGCTTTCTGACCTATCACCGGCCCTGAGGAAGCTGATGGTCAGCCTGGAGGGCTTTGACCTCCAGCAGCTGCGGGTGGGAACCTGGATGCTCTCTGCAACTGTTTTGAGCACCTGGTCATGGCTCCAGCCATATCGGCCTTCCCCCAAAGCTCATATCAATGATAACTGTGACATTGGGTCTACTTTGTAAGTCGCTTTGGATAAAAGCGTCTAAATGCAGAAACAGAAACAGAAACTAATAATGTGTTTATATGTTCTTATGCTGCTGCAGCTGTTCCTTTGAAACTCTAAGAGGGGGGGTGAGTTTGAGGTAATTCTTGGTTACCACGTTTCCCGTTTGAGATAATCGTGAGAACTTAAAGCTGTAGAGAGACCTGTCGTGCATTGTTAGTTCAAACTCAGAGGAACTTTTGCTCCTGCTTTAGTGTTAAACATGTCATGGGGGGGCAAAATCTGAGGGGACCTTAAGAAGCCGGGCCGGTCCAGACAGCCTGGAGTCAGGGAGGGAGAAGGATCACCAGGGAAACCGTTCTCCTCTCCCACCGTCTCTGGTAGGAACACGGGGACAGCAACCACAGATCCACAACCACAGATCCACAACCACAGATCCACAACC